GTGATTGGCTCATTCTCACCCATCAGACATCGAAATTACTAGTTAGCGCCAAGTTGCTGATTTCCAGTGTTCTCTTCACTAAATCTTGCTGACACCAAACAAAAACCCATTACCTCAGCACAATATTTTTCAAGACATTGGTTTCATATTTCCTCACTTTTTCTCCAAATAATAAATATTACATTGTGAATAAACCTATACAAGAGATTAAAATAGTTGAGAACTATACAGACTAATGTTATGGATAAACAATTTCTTTATTGGGACGATGTAACGTTTTCAAGATGTCGCGCATCATCCCAATAAAGAAGTTGTTGGGATACTTGACAACGATACAAGAATCTGTATCAAGACGTTGCATCATCCCAATAAAGAAGTTGTTTATCCATAAAGTTTGTCTGTATATTACTCTCCATCTTCTAAACAATGCCACTCAAAGAAGTTGAGAACTTGTGAGAGGTAGCAAATTTTTGTGTGTTCAATCCTGAAAATGATGTTTGACTGACGATTGTTTTGAACAATCTGTTTACCTCAAATAATTGGAGCAACTCCAGTATTAGTTGTATGTGGATGAATGCTGTTTTATGCTGATCATCACTATTTCCTAAAACAGGGAATTTGGGCACCCATTGGAAGACCATGTCACAGTCTCCAGTTCTCTTCAGTCAGCCACTGACAGGCATACTTGGGCTCTATTAATAATATCATGTCCAAATTGTACCGGGGGTCCTAATGGGGACCGTCTGAACGCACCAATATTAGGGTTATTGCCTGACTAGATACTGACCCACAATAGCCATAAAGGGCCTGGATTACTGTCTGTGTCATTTTACACAGTTTACAGACAAGTGTACAGGTGCCAGGAAATTACAGGCATAGAATCCACAGAATAGAAGAACTGGCCTTATTGTGTGCTGGGGTCATAGATATGTGGGAATCCATGCAATATGTAAGGTGATACTCTCCATACAGTCAGTGCTCAATACAGGCAGTGATCAAGCGGGACTTGAGGTTTCAACAATAGGCCCAGCAAGGGTAGACAGAAACTATCAACAGTCGGCAGTGTTCCTTCATGTTGGTGGCTGTCTAAACTTTCAAGGTTGGGTCTTGCATGTGTCATGTCAAGCTTAGCTAATGCAGAAAGTCAAACACATTTTACACAACCCTGGACAAACTATCACTGGTTTTTGCTTTGAAATTCAAGCACATTTGGTTTCTGGGCTTCTTTTTAGCATATTTCCACCAAATATCAAGGTTCATGGGGACACCAGAAATTTTACTCATGCCAGGGATTGAACTCTGGCCTATGGCATGACATGTGAACACTTGAAGCACTGGCTCCGACTCTATCCTTGACATTACAGCTTCTCCAGCAGGTTATTATATTACCAGGGTAATATCAATGTCTAAAGTACATCTCAGTTCATTTTAAACACGTGAAAGGTATTTATGCATAAATGAAACGAAGATCTAAGAAATAATTAGTTCAAAACTAGATTAGATTAAGCAGACCAAAGAACTGGACTTGGAATGAATGGAACTGAGCAACTCTAGCACTGCAATCAGGGCTAGGCAAGGTCTCCTTAATGCCAGTAGTCATATCCATCAGCCAAACAACACTGAAATAAATTACTAGGTTTTGGATTATAACTAGAGTCACTGATTTGAGAACTGTCAGTAGACAGATAGTGTGAAACACGCTCAACAACCAACGTGTTCCTGTTACCATGGTCACCCAGTGTCTGTGCTGATCCTCAATTCATCATTAGACATCTACGACATCTGTGTACCCAAATGTGCCAAAGGGTTTGGTGACTGTGTCTAACCATGGATCTTAGCATCATTTAGTATTATCACAGGGACCAATATGAGCTGCAATTTACGGAACAAATAAACAGTACATTAAACAAACATGACCTACTATGCAAATCAACCATAACATTACCCAAGCAACAAATAAATATACACATGGTCATTCACTGTCGCACTCTTTCAAATGAACACCATGCTAACATGGTATACACAACAGAGTGTAGGTAAACAACATGTTCGTCTTTCTACTTCACTTTCCAGTGGAATGAAACCTTTCCAATAACACATTAAAGATCCACACTGATGAGCACCTAATGAGGTTTGTGTGCACAGGTCCCTGGGCCAGTGCTATCCCCACACAGCATGTCTACACCTCTCCAAACTGGGGTTACCTCACACCTTCACCTCAGACAGGGTATACAGCAATTTGTGGCCATCTCATTCATTAAACATGACTGCACTAGTCATGCTAGCTTTCAGCTGACGGCCATTATTCAAGACTAAAATGTGCTTCTTCACCATTGCTGAACCATCGAATGGATTATTGTTAAACATAGCAATATGCAACACTATTTCAACAATCTGTTGGCAAACTGTACATGATTGAGTCGGGACCAGACAACCCAGTAATGGATACTGTTAGCAAGATCACATCATCATACTACCAGCCGGGTGACCACGCATGACCATCCAATCCATTAACTTGATTAAGGAACCATGTTGATCAAGAAGCCATGTACAATAAACATGAGTTCCTGGACCAGTTATAAACAGACTGCCATGGAAAGCAACAGAGTTACTAATGTGACACAAGCATGTTGTACAGCCAGTAACACCAACAACCTGACATATCATCAGGAAATTTCTACACAGTTGCCAGAAATTCTTTATTTCGGTGTGGTGTGGGCGATCAGCCCTATGTACAACATGGTCCATACATTATAAGGAACTTATGCAGGTACAGCAAGGCAGAGGTTTAGGGCATGAAGGATATAACAAGTTAATATCTGGTGATACAAAACTTTACAGGGCACTTATACCCGTACAATGAAGTATATCAGCCTATATATGGAGATACATCTGGTTTTAGAGAGCACTTATACAAGTACATCAAGGCATGGAAGATATAACAGAACATATTCGGGGATACCCGGGATAGTATCGTAAAGATGTCTTGATGCACCAATTAATTGCAAGTATATAAATTTGATCTTGCCTTCAACATTTTACGTCTTAAAAATGCTACGAACAGGAACACAATGAAGAAGTAATTACAAAAAGTGTTACAAAGTTGTACAATGTGAGAATCTGCTCTTGGATTTGGAACAAATTGGTATGATTATTTCTTTATGATATTGTATTTGGTTTAAGGGAGAGTGTTGAGTGAGTGAGTATGGTTCACATATTGCACCCATGTGGAGATTGGAACCGGGTCTTCAGCGCCACGAGCGGACGTAATGCAACCTGTTTGGGGTGAAGTGTACTCTTAACACATATCTATAGTGGCTCTACCCTGTACGAAAGTAATAATTCTAGTGAAACCGGTAATAATATGCTAAAACACACTTTCTGTGAAAAAGCAGATTTGAGTAAGGTCCATCATCTTAGCAATTGTAATCAGCAAGCAATACCTACATGGTACCTGTAACTTCAGACCAATTTGTATTTGTGATAGTGAGTGGGTGAGTTGTGTTTTAGGCCGCTTTTAGTAATATTCCAGCAATATCACGGCGGGGGGCACCAGCAATGGGCTTCACACAATGTGCCCATGTGGGGAATCGAACCCTGGCCTTCGACGTGACGAGCGAACGCTTTAACCACCAGGCTACCCCACCGCCCCTGTATTTGTGATAACGCAGACTGCTTTGGCAGAGATTCTAATAAGAATGGTATTTTCCCAGCATTCACTGCTATTCATCAAAGATAACAAGACGATGATAAATTCCTTACATATCTCCCCATGGTACTGTTACCTAAGACAAAAACTTAGCTGCAGACAATGGATGGTAGGTGGCTGAAGCACGACTGTGGTTAAGCGAAATGAATCCCCAGACACTATCAAGTCATCATGAATAATAGATTGCTTTCCCTCAAGATTAGAACAACAGTACATATTGATGGCTGCTAGCAAGCATGGCTGACTTCACGATGAAATGTACACCTTGTCTGTTACAACTTAACATATTTTTCATTGTGTTGTTTAGAAACTTATTCTTTTTTTTCTTACCCAATGCAGCAAAGATTAGGTAAATTACAAATGTGTTAGAAAGACAATCAGGATGAAGACATGTAACGCCACATCCAAAAGTTCAGATCTTGAAAGTTTCCTGCATTTGGTTGATTTAACAACACAATGCACACAAATAAATCAAAGAAGTTTTTAAAATAACACGGTGCCATGTTCCTTTAGATTTATATGAAGCCAGTAAAAACCGGAAACACAAGCAAGTATCTGTGCTGCCTTATGTCTTTTTGGCTTCACCATTTCAATTTTTACTAAACACAAGTTGCTCTACACATTAGTCATGTTTCTTGCATTTATCCACTGGCGAAGAAACAAACATTGTAACATTTTTACTGCTGTACTTGAAACTAAACTTGCTGATAGTAAATCTGCCTAGTTTGAGCCTGGCAGAATGATTGAGCACGTGATTTTAGCCTCTTCATTATTCTAGCCATGTCAGGACAGCCTGCCAGTAACGCAGCTCTGTTTGGCTGGCAAGCCAGCGGTTGACAGTATCAGCACTAATCCATGCTGTTTAGGGCAATAACCATGTACCTGGCATACAGCGAAAGGCCTTGAAACCTTCTAATGTCTTTCTGTTTTCAACATGGTATAGCTTCAGTCAGCTTAAATACATGCAGTGTTAAAGATTTGACAAAATCAAGGGTTGCTTGTCCTAAGTCTCATGTCAAAAGTGAAGGATGCTGGGGTCTGCAGGTTTAGACAACAGGACCAAACCTCAATTTTCAATGTTCCCAATTTTGAACAGTGAAATATACTGAGAAACATTAGAAAGGCACCACACCAAAATGCACCGATGATGCTCAGATATCGTGGGTAAATTTCAGTCTGATGGGGATATTTCGTATTACATGGGTGGTGCATTTCTAATGTTGTTCAGCATATATAACTGGAGCATTATCAACCAGATTCACTAATTTTGTGAAAATAATAAGATCCTCACCAAGTTGTCCGATTCTATTCTTTTCTGTTGTCTCTGTCGGTTAATGGCTGATGCTGTCACTCTTCTGACTGGTGTTGGGTCTGCCCGTTTCATTTGATGAGGATCTCTCTGTTCTGCTACATGCTTCATTATTTCACGCAACAACCTCTGATTTTCCTTTTCAATTAATTTAGTTCTGTCATCAGTAAATGTATAATTGCTACTGTCATGAGCCTTTGGTGGTGCAAACATGACACGTCTTGTGTTGTCCTTAACACGTTTCGTTTTCTCCAATTCTGAAACAGCTTTCATCAAAATATTTAGATCCAGTGTTTCAGCCTCACCTGGAGTTATAGAATAACCGGCATTCTCCAGATTTGGTGGTATGCCACGGTATTGCACAGTTTTTTTATGAGATCCATTTCGGAGATCAGACCTTAAATTTGAGTCATACCTCTTCTTGTGAGGACTGTTCCTTGGTGACGTCAATGGAGAAACGTCTGTCATATCACTTTCCGAATCAGAACCTGACCTGTCATCATTTCCATATCTTGATTTATTCTTACGGCTTGAATCACTGTTTCTGAAACTGTTATTTCTATCACTAGCTCCCCATGCCTGATGCTTAGAACCACTTTGCTTTTTACTAGGATGTGCTGAAACAGGTCTCACTCTTGCTTCTCGTGGTCTTCCTTCAACTTTATGAACAGGATTTTGTGAAATGTCTTTATACTTTCTCTCTTGTTTATTCCTTGGAGTTGGACTGGGACTTCTATCTGAAAAGTCTGATGTACTCTCACTGCCACTTTCACTATCTGACAGACTTTCTGATCGTGATCTTGTTCTTCTTTTGTCACTACGTGAGTGTTCCTTACTAGTCTTTTCAGACCTGGTATATCGTTGATCTGGGCTTGTGGACTGGGAACGACTCTTACTTGATGATCTTGAACGATTTCTTCCTCTACCCCCAGATCTCACACTTGATACATCACTAAATGAAGAATCGCTTTCCGACTCGGAATCGGTGTGATCAGAATCAGATGAATATTCCTCCTCATCCTCTTGATTCATGAAGTTGGAAGATGGCACCTTATCTTCTCGAGGACCACCAGTCCTTGAGTTTGATGTTCGTTTATATTCGTATTCTTGAATATCTACAGGTGAGTCGAGTTTTGGAGACTTCGGTGCTGGTGGTGGTTTTGAGCTTATTTTCTCCGAAGACGTCTTGTCTCTTGGAGATCGTGATCTATCTTTGCCCGGTGAGTCGAAAAAATCAAAATCAACATCGCCCTTTAGTTCTTCTAAATCCTGGTCCATATCCATATCAACGTGTGTTGCAGCAAGATCAAAACAGCATGGTAAACTCCGCCCTGACGTATCCGACTCAGCACTTCATGTCAACCCGCTTGTTTTGTAGCAACTATTCAGTGCATTGTGTAAACACATTTCGTAGCAACTACTCTTAGTCGTACGTGAGGCCGTTAGATATTCATTCATCTTTTTTAAATAGTACATTTTCAAGCTGTTATGTTATATTTTGTATAGTGATTACATTGTTTGAGATACATTTAATACTTGAGATAAAAGGTTGATGATAAATTAAATGGTTGAAGACCTCATATACGTAATTAGTCGTACATAATATGTATAATGATAAATCTCGCACACGAAGGGAACCTGCGAGAAGTAAAAAATGCCTTCTGCTAAGAAAATTTAGAGTGGCGGCAAATTTGACTAGGATTAGAATATTTAGTATGTACAGATATAGTTTGCTCTGAATGTCCCTATTTGTAAATGTGTCCGAGAATTGAGGAACATTTTAAATTTTGAAGTTTTAAACACTGTTACATCAACCCTAAAGGACGTTTAGGATAAGGACCTTACAAGGCCTGTAATTACTTAGATCTACTTGTTTCAGTTTACAGGCCTACTGGAAATTTCGATTTTTAAAGTTGTTGAATACTGAAGTCTATTGGTATTATAATTATGAGACATAGGCACATCCAAATTTTGTCATTATTTTCATTCATACGAACACATTAAACATGATATAGTTTTGTACAATTCAAATCATGTAGATCATGAGGGCCATTACGGGCCCCCTTGTTCTACCTTAGATAAGATAAGATAATGCTCATTACATACTCAATACATAAAAATACAATACATGACATATGAACAAAGTTCTGTATGTAAGGTTTTGTACACCACTTAGAATGTAACTGAAATCATGGTCTAACAATATGTAAGTTAACCTTTCTGCTTTTAGATGAGTGTTCAGTTTTATGCGATGCTAGTGAAGTTTAGTAATCTTGTTTTGCCATGTTAATAACATCTTTATGACTTGAAACCAGAGCTACAAACCAGATTTATGATCAAAACTTGTTCCAGATATTGTCCGCCCATTCAGGCAAGATCTGTTCTTGCTGAAAATAATAAGAGAAGATAGTTCATGGTATGAAACAAATAATATCATATAATAATGAAGCATTTACATTTAATCAGTCTAGATGGCAGCTAAGAAATGTTCTTGTTGCTGAAAGGTGGTACAACTGAATTGGCATGTCCAAAAATAAGTAACAATAAAGTGATAAATAAATATTCAGTAGTATGACTGCATTGATGATCTCTTTATTTTCAGATTTTTAAAGACTTCTTTCAACAATGTCAGCATTGAGAAAAAGATCCAAGTCCCTTGACTCTTTTGCTGCTCCAGATACTAAACCATTTAAACTTCAAAGAGTTGCCAGTTTTCAAGTTTATGCTCAGAAAGAGAAAGTCCGTCTTAGTACCCTTTATCCGTTTTTAACACAGGAGCAAATCCATCTGAAAATCAAGGACAGATGGAATCACATGAAACAAGAAATGAAACAGAACTACACCAAAGCTGTTCTGTATACAACACCAACTAAACAACATGCATGTAAGAAAACCCCAGCTAAGTCATCACAGTCAGTACTGCCCAGGGAAGATGGACAGTTGAAATTGTTAAAGGATAAGAAGCAAACTGGGCACGAAAATGATGTTTGTGGAAATAAAAATATGTTATCCAAATCTGTTGCAAGCAAGGCAAAAGTTGTGGATTGGCTAAACAATCCTAAGCAGAGGAGACTTTCAGACCCAATTGGACTAAAGAAAACTTATGAAGGGACAAGGTACAATCTGTCTTGTGGAATACCTACAGTCACTGATCCAACACCTTTCAAACAAGCAGGCATTTTGAAATGTGGAAGCAGGTATGTATGCAATGTCACCTGTATTTTTTTATACTAATGATCATATTGATGGGGTGGTAACTATTAACTGAAGCAGAGGTAGACACACAGCTAAAATGGCCATATCTAGATAGTCCACATTGTATTTCAGTAGTTAACCATTATGTAAAATATATGTAGATCTTCACTAGCCTCTGACTAATGGACTAGTCTGTGAAATTATGATGTGAATACCTTACAGTTAGTGCACATATTGATATAAAGCTATTTTCAGTGCTATAGGTTGCCAGGGGATCCAGGTCATTAACACAGGAGAAAAAGTTTGCATTTTGAGGAATAGAAAGGATTCAGCTTTTCAGCTGTCCTGTTTTCCAGGGGATGCCATTCATGCATGTGTCTGTTCAAAGATATTGTTTTTTTGGAACAGATCTTGAAAACTAAAGTATTTGCTGTTGGAGACTGGTAAATCTGGGACCTCATGATTTTTCAACATCAGGGTGATAAAAACCTCTATGTTTCTTAATTCTGAATGCTGATTTCAACATATATTTTACTAAGTGAATTATTATTTTATAGCGAAAAGAAGAAACAACCAAAGAAAAGCAAAAGAGGTTCACATGTCAGTTTTTCACACAGTAACGAAAATCTCACAAAACCATGTCCAGATTCCCAAGGAAAGGAAAGAGAAGGAAAGACAAAGAAAAGTGTCAAGAAGACTATGAGCTCAGAATACACCAACTTAAGCAGCTTGTACTGTGAAGACACTAATGAGAGGAATGGTGAATGTGAACACGGTCATTCAGGGACAAATTCTGACACAAAATTACAGCCCAGCGACGCAGGAGGTCTAGTTTTTCATGAAAACATGGAAGATGAATTGTTCACAACACCAGAAATTGGAAAGATACCTCTACAAGAGATTGGTAAAGCTCCACGAAAGAGAAGGTCATCTGAAACAAGGACAGAGAGACTTGATAGCCGGAGTAGGATTGCAAAACCAGGTAAACGATCGAAAATGAAAACCTTGAACAAAACTGCAAAGGAAAATTCAAGCAACTCTAATAAGTTATCCTCAGATGTGTTTGGAAATAAGGTGTGGGCAGCAACAACTTATTCTAAACAATCTGGAGGGAGGAAAAAGATGCCCAAGAAGACAAGTGACAAGAAAACTGAAGCGAGAGGAAGAAGGCTCAAAGATGCTGATGGTGGTATTGTCAGTGGGAGAAGAGGAAGTCTGGTAGGCCCGGTGAAGAAAGATTCAGATGACAATGCTTCAGGGAATTTCATCAGGAATAAAAGAGGTTTGATTGTAGGACCTGTAGGCTGTGATTTTGATGATATGGGTGATGAAGCTGGGTTGTCTGATGAGAGTGAGAATGACTTTGTTAAGAATAATGAAAGTTACTTGTATGATGAGAAGGATTTAAAGTTTGGGAAAATAGACCAGGTGCTTGACCACAAAGACAATGAAAGACAAGTCTCCAAATTGACCCGAACATCAAACCAAACATCAGGAGACTGTCCGTCCAAGGAACGGCAACTAGGTTTTAAGATGAAGAAGTCGACAAAGAAAGTAATGAAAATGAGGTATTGCAGTGACTTTGATGATGGTGACGATATTAAATCCATCCAAAAGGAAAATGAGAAACAGCAGAAGAAAGAATCAAAGAAGAACTCAAAAACAGCAGAAGACATGTTTAATTCAGAATCTCAGTTGAAGCATGAGATGTTGTCGTTGTGTAATGACTTTGTTGTACAGAAACCTGTGTCCCCTATTATTTCTGAAGGTGACAGCAGCCTCAGTGCCTGTGGAACCGACAATCTGTCCTTCCAAGGCACCACTGCAAATATGGATGGAAACCCAACACTCATGAAATTTCTACGAAAGATGAAACAGATTACTTCGCCCAGTATTCTTGACATGGGAGACACATCTCCCAAACTGCTGTCTCCAACTCTCTCAGGCATTACTGAGGTAAGATAATATATTTATCCACATTTTAGCACATCACAAAATAGGGGAGGTAGGTAGTTTTTAACTTCTTTTTCTTAAAATGACTGGTTTATCGATTTGGAAAGGTAAAAAATATACAATTTGAATTAGGGCATAACAGCAGAGGACATGTTTGAAATTAACAAAACTTCAATAATCTAAGATGAGTAAAATTCCTTAACTTGTAATGAAAATTTCCATGTGCACTACAACTTTTAACGTTAGGATGAAGCCTGCATTGTGGGAGATGTGTCTGTGAGATTAGAAATAACTTATATTTGACATTACCAGGATAGTCATAAAGACAAATTTGAAATTGGAGAAAAAAAACCAAAGCTTGAGGTTAAGAGTCGGGAACTTTAAATTAGGGTTGATCTTGTCACAAACAAGTTATTCCTATCATGTACAGAAAACTAATGACACTGACACATAAGCACACTTTTCAAAGTACATATTTCCATTTACTGAAGTATACTTTGGCCGTGAGGATGATTGTCTTCAATGTGTGCCTAATATTTTTTTGTATACATTATCAAAAGGGTTGATTGAAAGGGTTTGACATACCCCATATATTAGTGTACCATGGCACAGTAAATACTGAAATGGCACGGTTAAAAATGTTCTCGGTGCCCTTATGGCATGCCTTTTTTTTAGGAAACGTAACTCACCTTTAATCATTTAATCCCCCAAACAATAATTTTTTCCCAAATTGAATAATACCATACTTATCTAAATGCTCATAAACCCATTTCAATGTTTAACAATTAATCCAAAATGATCATCATCATTGTCATATATTTTAAACACAAGTGGGCACACTTGATTTCCGAAAGGCATGCTTAAAATATTTGTCTGGTCCCCTAAGGCACACTTACAAAAAACAATATTTCTATCCCTGATTGATTCACATAATAGTTCATAATATGTTTAACAGTACAAGTGGTAAATTAACTTCACAGACATACAGTTTGGACAAAGATAAAGAGACTTTGTAGAAAACAGTTTAGGACAGAGCATCACTATACCATATCTTTACATACACTGCCTCATTTGACACAAATTGTATAGCTCAAGATATTTCTGTGTAGGGGTGGGGGTGGGGTGTGTATATGTGATCAAGGGGAGAGAACTCTGTAGCATTATAAATTTAGAATATACAATAACGGCTAATTAGTATGCTAATAGATTTCAGTAATACAGGCTAGGTTTTGATGTGAACACAAAGGATATAGTGGTATTGGCTGAATCCTTTGATCTAATGAGCTTAATCTTTCTTACCCTTTTGTAAATCCCTTTTGTGTGGATATTGATTAATTCAATCGCTTTGATATTTTACTTTAAGCCTATGATTATCAGTTTACTACACAATGTAGTGAGGACCGAAAACATTTCAACAAACTTTCTCTGAAATATGTGATAATTATGTAGCGCTGGACATTGATACAGATCTTGGACGTCAATAATCATGAACTAAGTATTGATCAGCTATCCAAAAGTATTGGAGAAGTAACTTGGAGCAAAAATGCAAAGAAAGAAGACATATTTCACAGCAATAGAAAATTATTGGTATGTTTATGCATGAGCCACCATACAAAAACACATAATTTAGTGTGTGTGTATATTAAAACTTTATTTCATGACAATAGTTTATGTAAGATATTATTGATGAAACAATGTTCATTTCGATAATCCATAAAAAGAATCCTTTCCATTGATGATTTTTTTCCAGTTATCAGTCTTTTTAGCCAGTCCATGCAATTGCTGAATAAGTATCAAATGATTATCGCTAAATCACACAGAAGGAACTTGGAGCAAAATTGTAAGAGACAAGTCCAAAAGAAATCCAAATATTTCACGTCACTGGTGAGTGATCATACATGTATGGATTACTGAAACTAACCAGCGTTATGAACACAATTGAGACATTGCTCTAGAATAAAGACTAACATTTTGTAATTATTACACAAGGAAGATTTAATTATTCATGTAAAAATATAGTAAGGATTTTCTAACAGGATCAAAACTTTATTTCATCAGTATTCACAATAGTTTATATGTAACATATTATCAATGACACAATTTTCTTATCAGTGATAGTTACTAATTTTTCAATCTTTTTAGCCAGCCCTAGTGGTATTAGTAAGAATGTCTTGCAGAGAATTCCATAACATAACATGTAAATCCTTATTTGTTTAGCTGTCAAGCCTGTCTACAGCATCAACTGTTAAAGAGTGTGATCAACCTGTCCAATCACGATTAAGGACTCGAAGAGCCAGTGATGTGAAACAGCCTCTTGAGGCAGAGACGTTTCCTTCAACCTCCAAGTCAGCTCTCCGACACAGCAACCAAGTAGGCAGTCTTGGCTTTCTTGTAATACATACTGTAGTTTTATATGTAAAACTAACCATTATAACAGTCTGCATTGTAATCCACCAGTTGGAAGCCGGAGTCTAATATCAGTCTGTTTCGTATAGTAAGATCATCTGATAATTCTTCTATGGCAAAGAAATGCTCCTTTAAGAGATAGGTTTGAGCTAGCAGACTCGATAGGTTTTGCCAAGTGTTTCTGTACTTTACAGAGAAAGTTTAGTCCCAAATATAAAATCTGTTGCATTTTATCACTTTCCGAATGGCACTGTGCACTGAGATAAGTATGTTTCTTGTGCATTGACATTTGAAATATTGTGTGCTACATGGAGTTTAATTGCTGTTTAGTAGAGTCACTCGAGCCATAGAGCAAGAAAGCAAGATTATGTTTTATTGAATTAATAATAATAATACATCCATCTATAAAGAGCAGAAATTCACAATCACAATGTGCCCTGTGTGCTAGCAGAGAGTTTAATGCTTGAAATTGTAGTATTGATTAAACAAGTTAGTCTTCTGCTGTGATTTGAAAGAAGAGAAAGTGGAAGCAGTGTTGATGATATCTGGAAGACAGTATTATTCCATTTAGATGCAGCTGTGAAAGGAAAACATCTTTTACAAAAAGTAGATTTAAATCTTTGAACAGAGAAGAGATGTTGATCTTGTGAGTGGAGAATTCTTTTAGGACAATAAAACATTTAACTTCCCATGTTTCAGTTGTCTTGCCATTAACATATATTGGTTGGTTGGTGTAGAGGTCAACAATATATTGGTATTAACTGCAAGTTAGCTGTGTTCTTGCTAAACAGTACAGTATTAGCACTATTAGTCTGGATGTGCAAATTTAAGAAATAAGTGGAATGTTTAGAAATTGTTTGGAAAGTTATCAGCTAAATCCAGGAGTTTGCCCTGGCCTGTACGTTTGCTTGGGTCTCTGAGTAATATATTGTGTGTGTGTCCCACAGCAGTAGGAGTTTGAAACTGGAAATAGTGAGTCAGTGAGTTTAGTTTTATGCCGCTTTTAGCAAACTTCCAGCAATATCACGGCGGGGGACACCAGAAATGGGCTTCACACATTGTACCCATGTGGGGAATCGAACCTGGGCCTTCAGTGTGACGAGCGAACGCTTTAACCGCCAGGCTACCCCACCGCCCCAAACTGGAAATATAATGTAGTGAGTGTGAAGGGTTATGGTCGTTATGGATGATGATTTATGAAACTTACATAACTTTGTAAGGGATAACTTTGTTATAACATTAATGCAGACTGTCAAGGACACCCTCAACAACACATCAATGCGATAGTTCACTGCAATACATGTGTAGCGTATGTACACAATACATTTAGCATAATATTAGACTGGAAAAAGTGACATACAAAACAGCACATTTTGCAGGTGAAAATGAATGAGTTATCTCCCTTTGATTTGGACTTTGTTATTGGTTTTTCGGATGCTAAAAACATTGTTTTCTAGATTATCACATGAACAATTGTAAATCAAAGAGAGCAAAGACTGCGGTCCAAAATCATACATCCGAAAACATATTAACTCATACTTTCAACAATTAGTATGAATGTTACAAACTAATAGCTCCCCTACATGCTAAAAATATTGGACCCACTGCATTGCATGGGCTCTTCAGGAACAGAAACGTAAGCGCAAGTGTATGTTTTGCCTTGTGAAGAGATTGGTAAGAGCTGTATTGTCTTTTGCAGGGACAGAAGGGGGCCAAGGAATACACACTGTGCAGCATGTTCAAGGATACGTTACAGCCGACACAGGACATTCACAAGTCTTCGGCAAGGAGGTGATGCTTCCTTGTATCTCCAGATATCTTTTTATATTTTTGAAATCACATACCTTTTCTCCTTAACCTCATAGTCTTGTGGTGAAAATTAATGATCATCAAAAACATTTCAATTTTGGTACACCTTGCTTTGAAAATTATCCAAACAATATAATGGGCTTCTAAGATTGTGGTGAGCTAGGTTTTTGGTGTGACAAGTAGTGCTGGAGCAATTGATTGAATAATTGGTCAGTCGATTGATCTTGCTTACATCAGCAATTATCGATGGGATCGGGAGACAAATGAAAACATCAAATTGAACTTTAGAAAGTATGTTTCTTGTTGTTATGTTTGTTAAGCCATGACATAAAGAACTGATGTAGTTTCCCCAACTCGTAAAACTGTAATGTAAACAACATACTCGCATGAGTGTTTCAACAGGAAGTGCCCTTGGCCGTCTTGACCATGGTATTAATTGGTGCCTGTTTTGTTTGCAAGATACTATGACTGTGTCCAGTTATTGCCGACATGAGTTTTGTGGTGGGGTGTACCATTATAATCGATTACTGAGCTCCGATTATCGATCTACATATTGTGATCGATAACCAGCACTAGTGTGATGTGAACACATCGACAGCATGTCTACCCAACACAACTTTAGAATTGTCTTAAGACTCGACAGAGATACCTTACATCCCATACTGACTGAGAGGTGTTTGTGGAAAATATCTATCTCTTTAGAAAACTAAATTGGAATATCTATAAACTGGTAACATTTGTACAAAATAAGTCATTCAATTGTTCATTTAATTGTATGCAATTCTGAAAATTTAAACGATTGCTTGTGTTAGTATAGTACATGTTATGTTAAGCCCTTTATTGTGAAGGTGTGCAGGTTTTGTGAAATATATAATTTTGTGGATTACAGTAAATTACTTTTATAACGAACATGCTTGTAACGAACTGATGGATTACGCAGACCTGTTTTGGCCACTTGCTATTATTAAATGGAAATGCACATAACAAATTACAGTTATAAAGAAATAGAATTTGTGACCCCCTTCAGATTTCTGTATATCTGTAGTTTTCAAAGCAGATTGTACCTCAAGTCCAAACTCAGTCTTTACACATAAATGGCTGCATAATGAAGTACTGAGATATGGTGTGTCTATGAATTGATTCTGACAGATTACTTGACCAAGTACAATAAAATATGTATATTTTTACTCGTTTCAGACTGGTTAGGAGCAATTGTATGCCAGGCAGAAGCAACTTTGATGACATGTTTGAAGACCAGGATATATTCCATTGAACTGTAGACACTCTACTGTTTGTCAACTGTCTAATCATGTAACACATTGCCATGAGTTTCAAGGAATACTGAATCACATAATTACCTATATATCTACATGTCTGATATTGACAAATCATGAGATGATCTGTAGTTATGTCAAGAAAGTTTTGAATATTTTCTCTGTTCCAGTTTTTGTCTCTGACATCAGTGTTCTTTGTCACTGTTAATTAGAATTTACTAAGGTTATTTTCTGGCATAAAGGTAACCAACATCTCTTTGATATTTCTGTTGTCACACTCTGTACAATAACTCAGAAAATATGAAATATATTTGGCAAATTTGTTATGGTTTGCTGCATGTCCTCGACCAGTTTTAGTTGATTTGATCTTTACTAATCCCTTCACACACATTTTTCATTGGTCAATGTGAACATTGCTGCTCTTTCTCTAAAGGATAAACTGATTATACCAATAAGCATATTGTTTCTTATCAAGGACAAGAGAATTCTACATTAACATAGTTTTGTATATACAATCAAAAGCCACATTTACATGTTCATTTCGTACACAGTAATATATTTACGTATCTCTAGGTATAAACTGTTGGTCTGTTTTGTCAGATATAACATTAGTTGGATATTTCTAGATTCTATTTCTGTTTAGTTTACAGAAATAGCTACTCTGTATTCACACCTTGAAATCAAGCTGTCAAATCTGAGACCATGTGTCATAACAACCTTCTTCCATGGTGAAAGTGAAGTTATCATGTTAAATGACTTACTAATGTTGAATTACTTGTTTGTTGAGTATTGGTTTTAGAAACTGTTGTTTCATTGCATTACCGACACAAATAAAACTTATTGTTGAAGAGATGATTGTAATTTCATTCTGTGTTATTTATTTTATAAATGCACATTTGGTTATGCATATGCTATCAGCGGAATGTTTGGTAATTATCAAAATACTGTTATGTAACAGTAGGTCGAAGTGTTACCATAGCGCCCTTGTTTATGCCTTGACTAGGTAATTCCCTGTCAAGACTGAATACAAGTGTGTGCAGGGTTTGAAATACCCCATATATTAGCGTGCCATGGCACGGAAAATAATGTTCTCGGTGCCCTTATGGCACTCCTAATTTTTTAGAGACATAACACACCTTTAGTCACTTAATAACAAAACAAAACACCTCTACAAATGACAACCAAGCTAAAACATTTATTGACTTTATCGCCCCGGAAATCACTGGAATTATGATGGTTCATGTAAAGAAATCTGGTTGTTTTTTTCATTAGAGTGTTGGGAGTACTGATAGTTCAGTTATTGAAGAGGAAATTGTGTATGCTAGATGTATTGAAAAAAGGGAACCTCTCACACAATTCTTAGCTAATAAAGGTGTTGGGAAAGCAGAACAAATGAAACATAAGAAAGCCATCTTAAACAGAAGTCATATCAGTGATAACTGGTTACATTTGTTGTTTTCTGACAATAAATTTGAAAAGATCATCATCCTTGTGGGCACACCTGATTTCTGATAGGCACACTTAAAATATTTGCCTGGTGCCCTGGCACACTTAGAAAAAAAGAGAGTATTTATATCCCTTGTGTGTGTGTGTATGTGTGTGTGTGTGTGTGTGTGTGTGTGTGTGTGTGTGTGTGAGAGAGAGAGAGAGTGTGTGTGTGTGAGAGAAAGAGAGCGAGCTGATACATGGAACATGGGAGTTTAGTGCTCTGCTGAGATGCAGGCTGGATATGGTGTCATGTGTCACATGAGAGTTGACAGACTGGCAGCAGAACTCATGGCTCATGGACTGGCATAAGGACTGCAGGAACAGGGCTCCGCAGTAAATAAATATCAATCCTTGTGGGAGTGTCAGTCCTTGATCAACTCACAAAACATAACTAATGAAATAAGCCAAGTTTGAAACTTAGATTTAATCTGTTATACAATGTACACACTGATGTGGCAGCCACATGACACATGATTATAGTTGAGATAGTATTAAACCATCTCCTCTCCCACTCTAGAAAGATGCTCATGCCAATGGAATAGCATGGTGACGTATTACTGATGTATATGTAGTCACTGACTAGGATACTGTCAGACATAAATTGCCCATACATCCATGTCATAAACATACCATTACAAATAATGTGAGTACCTCGGGTGTCTATAATAGACATAATGGACCAATATCGTACCAGTATTGCACTAATCTTAAAGCTAACAAACTTCCAATTTCAATTCATTATCATATCCTCAAATATCAATGTTTCATCAGTAATGTATTCAATTAACACAAACGTAGTTATAACAGTTAAGTACAAACCAAACTGCTCCCCACCTGAAAAATTCTTAGTTACACTTCTACAAATCAATGGAAATGCTGACTGATAAATAGAAATACATGTTTTGTAAGAAACATTATCATAAAGATGTTTTACTTTAATGACACAACAAACATCAATGTCCATGAAACTGTGTGTACAACCAAACACATGATAATGTTATTTACAAATGATGATGGATACAAAAAGAAACATTTATACAGCACTTGGAACATAAACCAAGATGTTGAATAAATACTGTCATTCAGTTATGTTGTATTCATCTGTGACAATTGTGATGATGAATAGTAGTGGCACTTATAAGTTGTCGAGATTGTCCCAGTGTGCAGTCTCCACACTCACTGTGATGCTGTCTAGCATTCTGCAAACAAGTCCTTAATAGTGGTATTCTATCTCATTTCTTTGATGTCCCGAAGCCTGAGAAGCCCATGACTGCTGCCATATCTGGATCAATATTTGTGTTGAGTTCCTCATCTTCAGGGTCCAGCTTCCGTTTCCTGTTCTTACTTTTTTCTCGGCGGTAGGCTTTCTGCTTCTCCTCCTGGGGTCAAATGATAAGGGTAAAGTTAACTTTTGACAAAACCCATGACTGTTCTCCATTTAACATCAATTTTCAGGCACGGATGACATCAAAATTTAAAAATAAGCCGGATTTAAAGTGGCGATCTGATGTCCGTGTAACATTTCCTTCATCATAAATTCTTAATACCTCACAGGCATAATATACTCAAAGGCCAACAGTAACTGGTCATGTCCCGAGTCAGCTGAGGAGGGCTATGTGGTCATTAAATGAATGGGTTAATGATATGGATTTGACGCCTCTTTGAACAGTTCTTCATTTTCAGTTGTATTACTGTGTGTCAGTTTACTGTCAAAGGAATGCTGAAAGTATGTAGGTATTTGATACCTAATACTCGTATACTATAGTGAAACATAATGAGACAGTGGAGTGGTAAGGCCAAACAAGGAACATGTATTTTGTATTAAGAACATCACACCCAATTAATGGATATACAGCTTTGTTTGTATTGTGAATTACATTGAAGTTCCTGTCGTATGGTATTGTTTTAGTATATAGAGAATCTCTTACAATGTACCAGCCCAAATGTTCTGGTCAATATCCCAGAAAACAAACAGTAGGGCACAATTATACCTCCTCTTTCAGTTCCTTCATTCTCTCTTCAAAGTCATATTCTTTCTTCTTTTCCTCTTTTTTCTTCTTATTCATCTCAAACCTCTGCTTGACTTGGTCCAGGGAGGATCTTTCAATCCGCATGGACATCCCCAAGTTACGTTGATCTGCGGAGGTACGAGTGTGAGTTAGGGAGTTGAGTATTACTGAGCCTTTAACAATATTACAGCAATGTCATGGCTGGGGTGGGGGTCACACCAGAAATGGGCTTCAACCATAGGGGTCCTAAAGCCACAAGTGTTACCTTAAAGGTCACATGCAACGCAAAACACAACTTTGAAGATTCTGATACCTTTCAGTATGGACTTACAGTAACAAATTATCAAAAATGCAAATTCAACCTATAAAGTTGAAAAATAACGCGATGAAAAAACCCCCCGAAATAGGAGTTCAAACGATTCACTTATTTCACCCCAGCGCTGGGGTGAAAAGTAGTTTTAACAGCTGTGCTAGCTGTGCCCATAGCGCATGCGCAGTGATTAGGTTCATGCGGCTTGAACCGGGAAGGCAACTCGTAAAAACACAGTAAGTGATGCGTGCAAGGATTATCGCTGTGGTCGAAGTTTGAGAACAAAAGATGTTTCTTGTGATTACAAGCATCTTTGGTCTGCAGTAATACAAATACACTGGTCCCGTACTTTTTCTTATATGTTTTCACATCTTGCTTTTTGGGGGGTTGGCAGAGTTGCAAACCAAGTTTTCAAGAAAGTGTAGCATTAGAAATACTAATTTCTTTGTAAAAATTGCTCAGCTTGAAAACTGAAATGCTTTAATACATGTCTATGGAAACATAGCAAAATATGTTGATTGTGATAAGCAGTCTCTGTCACAGACAAAACTCAGTGTCTGTTTTATTGACACCTATGTGTCTGCCTGCCTGTCTGCTAATGACAATATGCAATACACAACTTCAATCATTGACCACATGCGATTTGAACTTGAAACGTATCATACTATACACCATACACAAAATACATTGATTTATGGCTCGTGCACCTGAGCTCTGTCTCTGTCACATTATGTAATTACACAGACAGGCAGGTGTGATACTTGTACACATGACATGTTATTATGTCAGTGGGTTGCAAACAAACTGCATCCATTTTTCTCAGATGACTGGATCGGACGGAAACCAGTGCAAACTCAGATTGTCAGTTTCAAGTCCTGCTTTGTACTTGGACGAACGACAGTTTCCAGCCACGCAGTAGTTCACCATCTCAGTATTTGTTGATTGGATCGAACACAAATGCAGAAAAAATGAGCATGTATTTACAAAACCCAACATCTCTCTATGTACACACACACACACACACAAATGAACCAGCCAATGAAAGTCTTCGTTACACTTGAGTGCACACCCACACGCTCTGACTGGGTTCGGTCTCTCGGGTGCTTCGTTTCGAGGGAAGTAAACCCAAGTACAAAATATTGCACTTTTGATTTGCGATTGTACGCTTATAATTTTGTTTATTTGTTTTTTCATAATCAGCAATGTATATTATATGTCATGAATTAGTGATAATTGTGTTTCAATTATGTTTGTATTTTTGGTTGCATGTGACCTTTAAGAAATTGACTTGTCCTTCCAGGGATGGGACACTGTTATCCATGAAGTTCACTTAATATGAGATAAAAACAAGTTATAAAATGTACTCTACATTAAGCCCCACCTCCCCTAAAACATGCTCTGATGATTATGAGTAAATAATTAAATAGTTACTTAAAAGAAATACTTACGTTTCTTTCCATTGATGTGATCCAAGAAATTAATGGAATCTTTGACAACACAATCACATACATTGCAGTAGTACCTGAAACGACAGAATACCTTCTTCAGTTCAAATATGAAAACCAGTCTGAACGTGGTTATGACCATAATTTTCAGTAAAGAGAGTGTTAGTACATGGATTCCAGGATTATTACTGGTTGACAGGGTTGTACCTAGACCCTCAAGACAAGGGGTCCAGAGGGCCCCATATTACTTATTTCAAGGATCCTAAGCTGAAATATGAGGCTAAAGTAATGTAATGGTGAAGTGTACTGTATTGTAAGCTTAATACAACTTAAGTTACACTAACTATATATTTCAAGCCAAGAATTGGGTACAACAGATATCAACGTTATAAATATTCATTCATCACTTGTGCTTATATGACAGATAAATGTTTTACTGGACTTGAGCATCAACTGTAACTGTTGTTGACTGCAATCTGGTAATTTAATATACTGCACAGAAACCACTTCTTTTACCGTTTTGACTGTAAGACTAAAACTCATGTAGATTTCAACATGCTGAAAATACAAATATTTAGCAACCTGCAGGTGTAACCTGTACTATCTTCACATGAAGAACATGCATAACCCATGGGCACATGATATTTCATGTTAACAGTGTAAGGAGTTGTGTCAACAGAATGACTTGAAATCCATCGAAAACATTGTCAAGGTATTGAAGATATTTGAGAATATCTGACAACCACACAATGAACCTCTTACCCTCCTTGTTGCGATGCTGGAGTTGTTTTTGTGATGACTGTGGACTTGCCAAGTTTGGAATCAAGATCAACCTTAAACAGAACATAACATCTTCATGTAATGAAAGGACATCCATACACAACAAATAACAGGAATGAAGCCATTTGGATGGACTGTTCTGTGTGCATTAACATTCAGTACTGATAACATAGTCTTGTGTATCCATACTGCCATAACTGATCTCACAATCTGCAGTCTGAATTACTGAGTGAAGCAGTTTTGAGTTTTTGTTTGTTCAACAAGGATTATTTCATCAGTCATGAAGAATGTTACTATCTGAACATGTACATTTATACATTATTTATGTAATGTAATATGTATTGCATAGTACACTAAAACATTAATTAACTTAGTAGGGTTCATTAGTTCAGAGCAGGGCTTAATTTACTTCATAGAGTACTGCATGGCCTCATTTCATCAGCTGTCTAGAAATATTACAAATACCTTCATTACATATTCCATGATGGTGGAACGTAGTGTACACACACCAATGAAGTTAGATCATGTTGACAGAACAATCATTTACTTATTGTTGGGTGTGAAGATATTATAATATTTCGAATTAATACAAACCTTGTACTCTCTTGGCTTGAGAAGCTCCCTCTTGACTGGCACTTCGTCATCTTCATCGTCTAGCTCTTTTGCCAAAAGACGTTCTGCTGCAATCTTCTCGTATTCATCTCGATCCCATTTCCTCCTGTGGTCTGGAATTGGTTTCTGGAAGAAACATAGTCATGAAGATATATATTATGGTCAAAGTGTTGAATGTACACCACAAAGAATTGGAATAATATGAGTGAATACTATAAAGAAAAGAGACAATTCCTCAATTGGAGAATATTCCTCAAACTCATTCAAAACGTTTTGCAGATATGTCTGTTACCAATCACAGAAATTCTGATTGTAAACTTACACATATACATTTCAGAAACCTTTGCTACAACATGGCTACAGGCCAAACATTAGATTGTTCAAGTGTAAAAACACACTGTGTCTTTTGAACTTGTTTGAGTTCAAATTCTTTACAATTAGTTTGTTAGCAGAGTAAAAGAGTTAACATTTTATAGATGAATCGCTCCACACGATGAATCTGTTCAAAACGAAACGTCTTTTGATTTTGTAGGATTCCACTTCATTTGATTCTCAAACAAAACATTCATGAAATTAACTCATCTCCCATCTAAAAACATCACAGTTTTCATTCTCTATCACTGAAAATCTCCCGTCCAAAACTGTCAATGAATTGGCTTGAAATATTTACGGTTAAACGGGTACGTATACATACAAGTAGAAAATAGCAATATTCTGAACCATGTTCAAAATATGACAAAAGAATAAATATATAATTTAGGAACAAACTGTGGTCCAAAAGGACACAGTATACACTTCCATCAATTAGCTTTACGATGAAGTTGAAAAATTATGCGTTAACGCCAGCAAATTCTACTACTGTCAAACAATAGAAAATATTCTTGTTTGTCGTTTCTGACAAAACATACTTCGTACGCCATGTTGTCTGTGTAGTACTTAGCCTCAGTCGACTAATGCGTACCAAGGCAGCTGCAAACATGATTCGAATAAGAGTTACCGCCCTTTAATCTCGCGATCCATGCCAAGACTTCGTGATTCATTTGCCTTAAACCAGGACCAGGAGATCATTTCGTTCCAAATATACTGCGCACAAGTGCAAAATATCAGTTGGCCACGCATAGTCAATGTACCTCGACAGGGTTGGTAGTTTGGCATTGTGCCCGTGTGCTGACGTACAACCAAGAAACGTAACTTATATCCTCGATATCCACAACAATGAAGTTTATTATTGTAATTTAATTACACGTTACTAGAACCTCTACGAGTGATTTATTTCCCCAATTGGGTGTCTGAAAGTATCATTATTAAACGAAAGAGAGATTGCTGTAACAAAACTGGATAACAAGTGTAACTAAATCGGCATAGACACTCTTTAAATTTAAAATATTCTATCTTTAATTTGATAAAAGATTAATTCAAGGAATTATGCCATGTCCCATAAGCTGCCTTTATATGATAAGCAGAATCAGGATACTCTTCAACACCCCCTTATATAGTCTCCCTGGCAGAATTTAACATGAAAACCTCGACGTGATGACAAAATCCCTGTGTGTGTGAACAAACAGTCGTTAAGTCCGCGAAGCGTACGTAAAATATCATATAAGTGGTAGTTGTCAAGGAAAATGTCTCCCTCCGATTATTGTGTCGAAACGTCTTAATTGCCTGAATTCAAGGCATATTTAAAATTGTGGAATTATCGCATTGCCAAACACAAATTATGTAATGCATGCGGGAATGTGCTTTAGTACCAGAATTACAGTCGTGGAACGCTACCAAACTGCATGCGAACATGTAAAAAGACTTTAAAAGTGGGAGGGTTGAATGACCCCAGTATCAGCTGTTCGAGTACTGCAGTTTGACGGAAGCAATGTAGGGGGACAGTGAACTGTCACAGAGTACGAGATGCTGGAAATATCGTACTGCTTCAGTAAAAGCTTATTCAGGCTGACATTAAGACCTATATCAACCGTGGAACGATTCCAAGCTGCATGTGAACATCTAAACAGACTTGATTGTCTAGCTGATTGTAATAGTGTTAGTAAATGAAAACGGCCTTGTGAATGAAAAGATAACTGATATAGAATCGTTAATGCTTGGACAAGTGTTTGTCAGGATCTGTAAAGATACAACCAGTGTCAGATCGGAAAGTCCACACAGGATTTGTCAACTTTCCTGGTAGAATGACTATGTAATGAGGTCTCTATGGCGGACTGCCTAATGCATGAAAGACCTTGAGTTTGAACGGGCGAAATTATGTTCATTGTTTCCATTTATGTTAACACGTTGCAGAGCATGTTCATAATCCTTTCATATGATCTGTCCTGTCTAAAGTCGTAATGACCACAATCATCATCCCCAAGCGAAGAAGGAAACCACAAAACACCCGCGACGTTCTGTAACAAGCCGGGGCGGTGGGGTAGCCTAGTGGTCAAAGAGTTCGCTCGTCACACCGAAGACCCGGGTTTGATTCCCCACATGGGTACAATATGTGAAGCCTATTTCTGGTGTCCCCTGCCGTGATATTGATGGAACATTGCTAAAAGGGGCGTAAAACTAAACACCCTCACTCACTGTAACAAGCCGAGTACAGAAAGACACGAATGGTCAGAATCAAGCGGTGTCGCAGCGAAAGTGATCGGCCATATTAACGTCAACGTTGTGACGAACCACTTTCTAAACGAGGAGAATGTGTTGAATCCCTTTCAGTACTCTACGGCACCAAAAGGTTTTAATCAGTGGGAGCCAGTGGGTCGGTACATTTGTCTGGGCTTCACACTTGGGGTGGCTATTACGGTGTTGGGATTTTATGAGCGCTTCATGTCTGAATTTCAGTCTTAAAAAAGTTGTATGCATTGAAATATTGGAATGTAACAGTCACAAGACTCAGAACAATGTGTGGCTGTGGAAGCTGTTTGATGAAACGTCTACTACATGCCTACAGTGAACCCTTTCATAATCCGGAACCCCCGCATTCTGAACGATTATTGTTGCAAACATCTTCCACTATGCACATGTACAAAATACAGTTATTCTAAACCTATGAATAGAGAGTGCTGGGTGGTGTTTGTGGGTGATAGTTGCTGGCGATGGTCCTGTGGTGGGAGATGGTGACAGGTGGTGTTATAGCCAAACCATTAGGTAGGACATGATAATGTTTACGTTAGCAACCAGATGATAAATAGCATAAAGTGACTGATGGTTTACGTTTCCAGATATGAAGTAGTTCTGGCAACCAACATCCACATGGAAACCAACCGAGCCCTAACGGCACAATCCTGAATATAACAAGTTACACGGTACCACATAGACTCAGCTACCACATAGGCTCAGCTTGACAAGACAGATACGCCAATATATCGGCGTCAAATAACAAATGCAGGATTTTGACAAATCATTAAGCATAACCATGGCAAATCCGAGCTTCAAACCAATGAACTACGGATCCGGATTATCCTCGTTTTGCCACCACCCTGAAAAGGATTAACAGCTACTGTGTTTATACAAGCACAGGGGTCATGTCAAAATTACTCATAGCAGCAAGTGAGTGAACTTAACTCAGGCTTAATCAGCATCCACGATAATGTTAACAGTGTTCACTATATCTATATATATGAAAACTTGCGAGTAAACACAGTTCACTCAATTTTAACAATGTAATAATTAAGACACTTGCAGTGACAGGTTAACACATAATCAGTGAGATGGTGTGTATAAGTATTGGGAACACCAAACAGCTTCATTGCAAAATGGCAAATGCACTCGTAAATGTCGAGTTCATTCCTAACAGTCGTGGTAGCCGTAGTCTAGTATTTCAAGGTTTTAAGTATAGAGTTAAGAGTACGCGAGGTACCAGCATTCACTGGAAATGCTGTATTGCTACATGCCCAGCCACCATCAACACTTCGAACGATCTCATCTCAACCCAAAACCATGGACACAACCATCTTCCAAACAAGGCCAAGATCATCGTGGACAAGTTCCTGGGGACAGTGAAGGACTTGGTGAAGAAGGACAGTAGACCGATTTCGTCGATCTACCAAGAAGAATTAAATGGTACTTATATGTGTTATTAACGACCTTCCCCATCTATCAATGAACTCAATACTGCCCCCTGCAGACATTCTGTTTTATGCACCTCATATACATCCTCTTTTTAGGTCTACGATCAGCTGAAGCAGATGCAACACAGGCAGCACCTCCGTTTTACAGCGTCCCAGCCTCTACAGGTCCAGAGCGAAGTCAACAACACCGATCAGACATCGATCTTCCCCAGATCTACACACAGACATCTGCCGGCGACAGCTTCCTTCTCCATTCTGACGACAACATGCTCATCTTCACCACCGAGTCCAGTCTACGACATCTGGCTGCTGCTGACATCTTCTTCTGTGATGGATCATTTAACATCTGTCCTAAACTCTTTCATCAGCTATACTCCATACGTGCTTTTGTGGGCCAGAAGATGTTTCCTCTTGTGTTTGCCTTGCTCCCAGATAAGAAGCAATCTACATATAAGAATCTTTTCCAGACCCTGCAACTCAAGTCTTCAGAACTCAACCATTGCCTGAGACCTGACTACAGCGCCTCCGACTTTGAGGTTGCTGGTCAACAAGCTGCTGTTGAAGTGTTTCAATGTGAACTCAGGGGTTGTATGTTTCACTACAGACAAGCTGCTGTTGAAGTGTTTCAGTGTGAACTCAGGGGTTGTATGTTTCACTACAGACAAGCCATATGGCGAAGTGCCCTGCGTTTTGGACTGAAGTCCAGGTTTGCATCTGATCCAGCTGTAAACCTGGTAGTTCGACGAGCTTCTGTCTTGCCCCTTGTAAGACTCTGTGACATTGATGAAGTGTGGCTTCATGCTCTCGAAGAAGCTGACCTTGCTGATCCAGCAGTTCTACGTTTCACCGACTATGTGACCGAACAGTGGGTAGAGAATGCTGGCAGATCCACATGGAACCACTTCAACACCAGTGGTGCCAGAATAACGTACCACGTGGAAGGCTGGCATGCGAAGATGAACAAGAGTGGGCATCCTCATCCAAACCTGTTTAAGTTCATTAACATTCTGCAGAAAGAACAAGCCCACACTGAAATCACCATCAGCCAGATCCTGTCAGGTGGATCAACTAGAAGACCACCTTTAACGTGAGAAAGACAACCTCATCGCCAACATCAAGACGCCAGTGGAGTATGCTGATTAGGTATCTCACCTCATTGGACTTTAATTGTTTATAACTGTGAAAGTGTGTAATCTGTGTAATAAATTTCTTAATATTCTTATTTTGTACTGTATTAATAGTTTATGTAATTTGTGTAAATGCATTAAAACGTGTGCAAATCTTGTGCAATTTCATTAATAATACTTCTGACACTGTAATGTAAATATTGTGCAAAGTATCCCACCTCATTGGACTTTAATTGTTTATAATTGTGAAAGTGTGTAACCTGTGTAATATATTTTTTAATATTCTTATTTTTCTTATTTTGTACTGTATCAAAATTTCATGTAATTTGTGTAAATGCATTAAATACATGAGATGACCCCCGCCACCTCCTATTGTTCTTCCAACCAACACGCATGACTGCTTCGCCACCCTTAACAATAGGGTGGTGGCAAGACGAGGAGACCCCGGATTGACGTACACATAAGAAGGGACAGAACTCCGGTTAGCCAATTGTGACGGTGTTCATTCTCCCTTTAAATGATTCAACGGAATATGAAGTAGGATGTGTAGATATATCCTTGTTACCACAGTGTGATGGGCATTTAAATAATCACTGCGATGAGATCACGGAGCCGATCTATCTTCCCTGATGTGGTCACCTGTCGCTGCTGTCTGGGACGTGATCACAATATATTTGTTACGATGTTGAATGAGAAGTGTAAAAGCCTGGAAAGAAAGAAATAATCGTGAATATTGCTTATCAATCTTATTCTAGTTTTAAAAGTACATAATCATTAAAAAGGGCGATGTGACATATGTAAAAGCCCAAGGGTCACAGACG